TCACCCCCAGCCCTCACCCCCAGCCCTCCCCACCCAGCCCCCTACCCCCCACCTCTGCTTTGGTGTTTTGATCCTCCCCTGACCTCAGGTGTGGGGGGAGGAGGCCTGAGGTCCCACCACCTGACTGTAGGTATGGAGCTGGGACTTCCCCAGGCTTCCTTCCTGGGTCAGAGCTGGTGCATCTCCAGCCCGTAGGTGGGAATGAGGGACTGTCCCTCCAGTTTGCTGTTTCCACGAGGCTGGGAACTGGACTAGGAGTCATCAGTGTGGCTTCCTTCTCCTGCCACCTGGGCTGGCCCAGGTCTAACCTGACCCAAGAAGATTCAAGAGGGAACAGCTCTTGATGGCTCTTGTGCTGAACCAAGAGAGGGGCAGCTGGGGTGGAAGGCTCTAGAACATCAGTGCAAAGGACGTAGCAATGAATGGAGCAAAAGTGCTCCACTCCAGGCCATGTAGTGTGGGGGTGACCCCACGGGTTTGTGTACCTGACCTTGTCTGGTCCCAAGAAATCCAGGGCTGCCAGCCAGCATGTCTGGAACCCCATGCCAGGCCCTTTCCCGGGTGGCTGTGCCAAAGGGTCTTCCCAGGGACAGTTTTCCCACATAATCTGGGTTTGGTGCCATGGAGACCCTGGGAAGACCTGACTTTCAGCCTATGGAGTCAGCCTTCAGGGAGAGAACCCAGGCCCCCATGGCTACACTGTCCCCCAACATATCCCACCCGGACACGCCCATCCCCACCCAGCCCTGTCATCTGCCAGCAGGCCTCCAGAGCCTTCTGCTGGGTTCCGGAAGCCTGAGTCCTGCTTCTTACTCACGTCTCCAAGGCCTCTTGGACTTTTCTCTGCACTAGCCGCCATAACCTGTCCTTTGCTGTGACTGGACCATCGGGTGACTCAGAGCCCAGGCTTGTGTGTGTGCCTGTCACAGGAGTAGGGCCGCCCAGGTGCCGGGGTCTGTCAGGTGCCTTAAAATCTCCCACTGTCTGCTTGGTGAGGCAGCACCTGTGGATTCCAGCACGGGGGAAGGTGGACTTGGGATGGTCAATATGTGGCCAGCCTGGGCTACACATTGAGAGTCTATCTCACAACAAGTGAAGGAGAATGAAACATACCAACTCTGTGACACAGCAGTCAAGGCTTCCACAAAAGGGCTCAGCGGAAGGCAGGAGGCGCTGAGAAGTTGGGACCAACATGGATGTAGCCAAGGCCACCTTTGGTTTTGCTGGCCGCTGGGCTCAAGGGTGTGCTGGCCACTGCAGGACCTGGAAACTGATTAGAGGCCAACGGGGATGCATAGGGGGTGATCTTCACGTCCAAGGTCAGGAACACACTGTGCACACCCCAGGTTAAGAGGCATGGCTCAGGGCTGAGCTGGGAAGAAGGCTCGGCAGTTAGAAGCATTTACGGCTTTTCTAGAGGACTCAAGTTCCGAGCACTCACAACCCCTACAACTCCAGCTCCAGGAGACCTAGCGCCCTCTTCTGGCCTCCCAGGGTACTGCAAGCCACCTACCCCACCCCTCCTCCATTCTCCCTTGTACACATGCACATAATTAAAAATAAAAATAGACTGGGCATGGTAGTGTACGCCTTTAGTCCCAGCACTCAGGAGACAGAGGCAGGTGGTGGATCTCTACGAGTCAGAGGCTAGTCTGGTCCACATAACAAATTCCAGCCCGGTGGTGGTGGCTCACGCCTTTAATCCCAGCACTCTGGAGGCAGAGGCAGGTGGATCTCTGTGAGTTCGAGGCCAGCCTGGTCTATAGTGTGAGTTCCAGGACAGCCAGGGCTACACAGAGAAACCCTGTTTTGAAAAAGAAAAAAAGAAAGAAACAAAAAAGAAAAAGAAACAAATTCCAGACCATCCAGGGCTACATAGTAAGACCCTGTCTCAAAAAATAAATAAAAAATTAAATAAATAAATAACAAATTAAATTACAAAAAGATACTTTGCTGTCCTCCAAGCTTACTATCTGAGAGGGGAGGGCTGTTAGGGGAGGGGCTAGCGGCAGAGCCAGGGGCTAAGGGGCAGAGTCCTGGGCAGACGGCAAAGTTAGGGGATCAGGGCCAGAGGCCTGCAGGGCTGGACAGAGTTAGGGTCAAGGAGAAACCCTCTGGAGAGCAATGAGAAAGCCCTCTGAGGTTGCCCTGACCACCTCATGTGTGCATACAGGCACACTTGTGCATGTAACACACACACACACACACACACACACACAAATAATTAAAATGTATTTTAGACAAAGATACAGAGATATGGAGGCTGGTTCTCTCTTCCTGTTGGATGTCCACTTTGCCATCTGCCCAAGGATGTGGTCCAGCCTTCCCTAACTTCATTACCTCCAGCCACATTCCAGGAGAGCTGTGGCCTTCTAACACACCTCTCCCTCTGCCTGCTCTGACTTCCTTCTGCTCTGTGTTTAGATCCTGGAAAGCCATGGCCTCCTCCGGGTAGTCCTCCTTGACTTCCTTTCTCACTGCAGTGACTGTTCCTACCCTTCCCTGAAGCACCATGACGCCTTACTCCTGAGCCCCCCTCTGTCCTACAAGCCATGACTAGCTCTCACTCGGGGGAAGCCCCTCTTCTCTCAGACGTGCTTCTTGAGGGCACCCGAGGGCGTGGGGCCCGCCCAAGAGCTGGGACTCTTCGGATGTCTGGGTGCAAGGAGGCTGATCAGTGGCGGGTGTGCAGTGCCCATGTGCCAAGGTTTCTTTCCCCATTTAAAGATGGGAGACAGTGGATGATTTGGCCAGGACCATACCTTGAAGAAGGAAAATGGACTGATGGAGTCAGTCCTCAGGGAGGCTTCAGGTCCTCTGTGACTGCCTGGCTGTGAGGGAAATGAAGAGTGACCTCAGGAGCGGAGAGGGAGAGGGGGGGAGAGAGAGAGACAGGGAGAGCAGGCCTGCACTGGCTCCTTCCTCCATGACCTCTCCGTGACCCCACCTGCACAGCCTGGGCCTCTCCACAGAGCAGGAGGAGGGGCTGAGACCTCCCAGCGTCACCAGGGAACCAGAGCCCGGACAGCCATTCTGTCCAACGTCCCCATCCCCCAACTTCTGCCCGGGTCTCAGGCCAGGCAGAGGTCAGAGGAAAGGGGGGCCGCCCCCCGTTGCTGGCTAGTGTGGGCCTGAGGAGCTCCTATGGTGCTGCTTTGAGCCAGGCCTCCACCTCCCTGACACTGAGCCTGTGCTGGGTCACCCCAAACACCACACTGCACTTCCTACAGCACCGTAGCTGGGAACGAGCTTGTCCAGTCTCGATCCGAAGGGCTGGGATGTGGCTCACTGGTACAGTGCCTGGCTAGCATGCACAAAGCCCTGTGCTCAGTCCCCAACATCTCAGGGGTGGTGACAAGCACCTGTCATTCCAGCCCTCGGGAGAGTCAGCCCTTCCAAGCCACCCCAGGCTACAGAGGGAGTTCTAGGCCAGCCAGAGCCGCAGAGTGCAACTATGTCTCAAACAAACAATTCTAAGCCGGGAGTACCTGAGGAGAGGTGGGCAGGCTTTGTTTCCACTTTCCTTCTTCCCATATTCAGGACCCTGCAGAATGTCCCAGGATGCCCAGAGGGGCTATGACAGGCCCCTGTTTTCCCTCAGTCTCAGCATTAGAGTCAATGCGGGTTTGCGGTGTGCAGGGACACCAATTCTCCACTCTGTGTACAATACATAGTCGACCTTAAATACAACCCTGCGCCAGAGAAAGACAAGCGGCCTGGTTTCTGTTTGCTTTTTGGCAGTGCCAGAGGTGAACCCAGGGCCTTTGCACACTCAGGCGAGCGCTGCATCTCTCCCAGCCGGAGACTGGCTTCAGACACAGTCCTTAGCATGGCTCGAGGCCTGACAGACAGCACAGTCCTTGGGAGCCTTCTCCATCTCTTCCTGAAGCCGCACCCCAGCTCCCGTCTGTCCTAAGCCCTTCACACATGACATCCCCTCAGATTGCAAGCCCCCACTCGTGAGCTGTCTGCTCTAAGGCCGCTCCTTCCCAGCTTCTCCCCCAGGGGTCAAATAGTCCCACTGCCTGCCTAGTCTGGCATCGCTTCTGGTGTCCATCATGGTCAGTCAGTCATGCCTGCTGTGCCCCATCCCACCCCCACGAGGTCTCAAGACCTTGCCAGTGTCCTCTCTTCACCAGGGCAGAGACCTCTGAGGCTGCCCCAGTCAGCCTCCTTCTGCTGTGATCAACACCATGGCCAAGAGCATCTTGGGGAGGAAAGGCTTTATTTCAGCTTTCAACTCTCGGGTCACACTCCGTCACTGAGGGAAGTCAGGGCAGCAACTCAAGGTGAGGACTTAAGAAAGGCCAGGGAGGGGTGCTGCCTACTGGCTTGCCCCTCACTGGTTGCTCAGCCTGCTTCTTACAGCACCCAGGACCGCCTGCCCAGGGGTGGCACCGCCCACAGTGTAGTGTGCTGGGTCTCCACATCAATCCCTAAGAAAATGCCCCACAAGCCAAGCTCGATGTTCTCTCTTCCCAAATGACCTTAGCCTATGCCAAGCGGACACAAAGCTGGCTAGGACACAGGTCTCTACAGAGTGCCCTGGGGTGTCAGGGGTCACACCAGAGTAAGCATGGCATGAAGGAATGGTGGGGAACCAGACTCATGATCCCCTCCCCCATCACTAACGGCCCACAGGAAAGGGCCTGTGTTGGCTCCATTTCTTGAGACTCCTTCCTGTTCGTTCTCAGAGTTCGCTCCTCCTGGGGAGAAGCCTGTCCTGAGGCGAGGGAGGAATCCAGTCTACAAGTAACTGCTGTGCCTCTTTAGGCAGAGGCCCTACCTCTCTGGGCCCTGGATCCTCACGTGTAATTCAGAGACCATGCTGGTCCTGATGCAGGGAATGGAGGGAGACAACCCCGTGGCTCATGGGACCAGGCTCGGCACAGGCAGGGAGCTGCCACCTTCACCCTGCAGTGGTGTTGGGGGAAGGCACAGGGCATGGTCTCCCCAAGGGCCTCTGCCCTGGTTTGCAGAAGGCATTAAGAGACTCTGTAGAGAGTACTTTGAGGGCCTGCCTGGAAGGGGTGAGGGGAGGCGGAGGCGAGCGACTGCGTGCATGCATGTGAGTGTGTGCAGAGCCGGCAGGAGAGCCTTTAAAGGGAGGAGGGATGGGAATGAGTTGGAAAACAGTGCGTCAGCGCAGAGCAGAGAGGCCTCCAACAAGGCTGAATGAGGAGCAGGGAGAAGCTTCAAGAAGCCAGGAGGAGACACCCTGGGTCCTGGGGCACAGTTTGAGGCAAGGCTGTGCACTCTGCTGGGGAGACCCCAGTTGGGGGTCTGGGCTGGTGTACAATCTGAAGTCCAATCCAAACCCATCCTAGTCCTGGGGCCCGATGCCTGGGTCGGATGGCCAGCACTGTTTGCAGGCGGCACCTCCCCCCCCAACAGTGGCCTTCCCCCTGTGGGTGTCTGTACCTCGCTTTCCTCCCCTCAGGAAAAGCCCAGTTCTACTGGATCTGGGCCCTCTGAATGGCCACCTTTTAATGCGGCGTCTCTCTGAGGACTCCACGGCTCAGTCTATGTTACTATAACAAACGCATGGGTAGGGAGGGCGGCTTGCAAACAGCGGACGTTCACTACTCACAGGACAAAGGTTAAGGCGCATGCGTGGTGAGGACCTGCTTCCGGGTTCATTTTATTGCTGGGGCCACACTGTGAGGGGGCAAGCAGGCTCCTCCAGGCCTCCTCCATAAGGGCCATCCTGGCACCAGAGCCTCCCACCGCCACAGTTCATTACTTTTGTTTGTTTGTTTTATGCTTAAGAGTGTTTTGCCTCGCTGGGTGGTGGTGGCGCACGCCTTTAATCCCAGCACTCGGGAGGCAGAGGCAGGCGGATCTTTGTGAGTTCGAGGCCAGCCTGGGCTACCAAGTAAGTTCC